GGTCCTATCTGCACAAAAGAGGAAGAGCTGTGGCAAGCCAACTACGGACTCAAGTCACTTAAGTTAATTCACACCCCTTAACATGTCATCGAGGATTCCCCAGTGGATCCTGTTTTCACTCCGTGGTTTCCGCTAGCATGAGGTTTTCGGTAATGAGGTCAAAATATGTCAGAGGTTCTAGTAGCGACTACTGCCTACGATTTTACTCAATCAAAAAGATGAATGTCGGACAAGGTGTTGTCACTTGCGTACTCGGTTTTCTTTCCCTACTTTGAATGATGACGTTCACTATGGACATCATAAGCCTCGCCTGTTGGTTCTGTCTTTTCTAGCTGAATAGCACTATTGACAAAACGTCAGTAGCAAACTTTTTCAAGTACTCCTAGATGTTCTCGATTTGTTTTTACTTTACTTGTTGGACACTTGAACTCACCAAGAAATATTTTACATTGTCATGATAGTTCATGCGAACTAGCCAAGTAATGCAAATGCACAAGCTAGTTATAACCATGCCATCGACTTTCTGCAAACTTTGATCTACTGATTCCTAGAGATTGGCGAACGAGGACTGAGGATGGAACACATCTCCAATTTTGGAAATAGTAATGAGAGGAAGATTTGGCATTTGCAAGTTACCTTTTTAATGGAGTCACTTCGAGAATGATACTATCCCGCCTGCCCAGGCTAAGAGGATTGAATATCCATATTCACCTAGCTATCGAGCAGTAAGACTACGCGAAATTCAAGCCCAATATCGTTGAGCTTAAACAGCATACTGCTAATCTTCATCTTGTAAATTTTCGGGTAGTTCCCCGATTCACCCAACCCGGAACGAAGGATCGATGACGCCCCACGCGCGGTTAACGGTTTCTCCCGTAGATTATGTCTAGTCTATACAAATGTTGGCAGTTTCATGAACAAACTTGGTGATCTGTACCACTTCGTTGCTTCTCGTCATCTGGACATACCAGGACTGGCCGAAACTTGGTTGTATCCTCTGGGAACCACCTAGGATATCCAACTCGAGGGTTGCTTGTGCTTCCGTTGCGACCGACTATCAATCGACCTCAGTGTTGCGCTGCTATACATTCGGTTCTCTTTATGTGGGAGGCTGGTAAAGACAAAGCAATTGTGGTGCACGATCCACCTGATTATTGGAGTAGTGTTCGTTGGTGTAGCACATCGCAGTCCGCAAATGTATTGTTTGGATTGGTTACCGTATGAGTCGTCCCGGCTGCCTCCTCATGGGTGATGTTAATTTCCCCCGCATACGTGGGCCTGAGGTTCAACTTCTCCGCGGGTACTGTTAAGTCGAGGCAGAGTTTGCTGAGTTGATCTTGAAAACTGGGGCAGCAAAACACATCTACCACGGGAAGCGCATTACACCGAACAGAAATCCGTCATGCCTGGACCTTATGTTGCATAGTGGCGAACACCTTGTGCGTTATGGTTCGGTTCTAGAGCCCATAGAAGCGAGTACTCATACGATGATCATAGCCAGCCTTGAGCTTTCGCTACCATAGTCGCAGCTACTGGAAGATTGACTTCGATGGTCACACTCGATGAGCTGGTCTCTGGAGTAGGATGCATCTGTTGAACCCTGTTGGTCTATTAAAAATGGGAATGTGAAGTCGCTGTGCATTCAATTGGTACCCTCGAGTAGCGGAAAGCTGGGCGAGTGAGGCCACACTGGTTCGACAGTGTATGGCCAGTTGACTCGAGGACGACACGTCTTGTTAAATAAATTTCTCTTGTCTGGTTCTGTCGACGGTTACGAAAATTACAAAATGCACCGGATTCCATGCACCAGCGCATAAGTGCAGAAGGGACTATAGTTAGAAGAGGAGCTTGCTACCGCAACGAAAACGGTCCCCAAACAAATTTTCGCTTACTTACAGCGGCGACGTAAAGTGTTGCAGGTTTCTTATATCTAGTGCTGGACGTCCGCCCGCGTTGGCGCACTACGCTTCTGTATTTGCAAATGGACATGCGTCTGTACCAAACTACACTTATGCAAACACTACAACACTTTGGAGTCTCGATTGCGATATGGATGATGTCCGCAATCTACTTATCAATATTGACAGCACCAAGCCTGCCGGTGCAGATAGGATACACCCTCTAAGTCTCAAGTCACCCTCGACCATCATCTTGCCTTCAATGACTGATCTGTTCAACAGATCACTGCGCAAAGTTGCATTGCCGCGCGATTGGGAATACTCCCTAATGAAGCTTATTCCCAGGGCGGTGACCCAAGTCAGATGAGCGAATACCCGCCGATTTGTCTGCCATCCGTTTTCGCCGAACTACTTGGGAAGATCTTAAAAATATGTCTACTGCAGTTGCTGCAGTCGAAAAACCTAACCACCGCACTGCAGGGCTTCAAAGATGGCCGCTCCTGTATCGCCAAATTGCTGTGTACGCCGCATGAATGGTTACAAGTGTTACCCCGGGGAAGTCGATGGGTGTGATATACTTTGATTTCAATAGAGCGTTCGACAAAGCGAATCATGAGGTTTTCTCAACAAGCAGATAATGTACGTTGTTGCTGGCTCACTTCACAATTGGGCGAAAATGGAGGGTCCAGGTGAAGGATCTTCTAAGGGACTAACATTCTTCAAATAGTGACCTATCCCAGGGCATATTACTTGAGCCCATTTCGTTCTTGATTCACATTAATGAAGTACCTCACCTTTTACTGTCTTCTTGTTCCTTGTTTGCAGGCGACCTAAATAGTTAGGGAGTATTTGATGCTCCCGACATCTGCGACTTACGTCAGCATGACATCGGTCGCCTGTCCATGTAGCCTGCATGGATCGATCTATCTTCCAGCCCCCACTCAAATCATTATTTATGAGCCTTGGGAAAGGTGGTGATAGGCGTAAATACACCTATACCCGCCAACGGCTATATCCCACATTTGCTGTGAAAGATCTCGGCGTACCTACACGCTGCGAGTTCAAGTCCCTAGCTAATATCAACAGACTATATTGAAAAGGACTGCGCATGCCTTGGACGCACAAAGGAAGCCTCTGCATTAGTACTGAAGAGAGTGCCACGCACCTATTCTCTTGCATCAAAGGAGTGATGCTCGAAAATGGCTCACCCGTCTATTGTCCGCTCACTCGTGATCAGATAAAGCTACGGGAAAGTGTTCGGTAGGTAGCCAGCAGACCCATCAATTTCTTCATTGGTTCTCTGAGATTTGCGGCTTTGTTGCAAACGTTTCACCACCATACATGGTGGCATCTTCAGTACAGTGAGATGCTACTGCAATCTTACTGAATGAATCCTTTATCTGTGATCGACCTGCAGGTTTAGCTGCCTTCAACTCGTTGGACGTTCTGTTGCAGCTTCTAGTTGTTCTGTTACTCGTTGTGCAACGAGCTAAAGGCAGCTAGACCTGCAGGTCGATCATGGATGGTGGTTTCATTCAGTAAGGTTGAACGCCGCATCTCACTGCACTGAGGATGGCACTTCGCATAGTAGTGAAACGTTTGCAACAAAACTGCTTAGCTCGGAGAACAAATAAATAATTGAATCACAAACCCTAGCTACCAGTATTCCGAAACATGTTAGTCTGATCCACTATTTAGGAGATATGCAGACTAAGGCTGTACACACTGTATTATCTTCGGGTTCCAGTGGCTTTTATGATGACGCACAGCACCTTTGACTCCGGTCTCTTCCCCAAGTTGAGTTCACAGTTACAAGTGCGCACACCAAGCACCACTTGTGGGCACCGGTACTGGCTTGTGATGCCAGACTTAAGTAGGGAGCACACCCTCTTTGCTTCAGGTATCGGGTGGTGAAATACTAGAACGGTTTACCCGAGAAAATAGTCGACGAGAAACCGGTGTCGGATTTCAAACAATTGATAGGAACCCACTTTATGGACCTCAGATTTACGGAGCGCATCGCACCTGAATGGACTGGCGCACCTGTAATGTACTATAAACGCCCAGGTATCAGTGACGTGATTCCACGCACGTGTCCGATCTAAGTACGATGAAGCAACACAATTATACATCAACTCGCTCTCTATTCTCAGTATGCAATATTCAGTAGTGTTCGGGTACCCGATGTAGGTCAGGTGCAAAGCCGCCCAACCGAACGTTAGTTGGTAATGTTTTTAGAATGCAAAGAGATTTTTTAGCTTAGTCGATCTTTCCCATTCCCTATCCCAAGAGTCTCAGATTGCATTTTCATCAGCTGCTTCACAGAAATTACGGGAATTTCGTGGTAAGGACACGTGGCGTGTTAGCTAATGCCCATGTTTCAAATAACCATGCCATCTAGACGCTTCATCATTGTCTTAGAGAGATGACCAAGCATGGTTAGCATGAAACTGAAGTATTAGTACTAATTCGAAAGCTATGTATATCCAACTGTATTATGCTACATCAGATATAGCACCTAGGTTACGAGGTGTCCCATGTGAATATTTGTGCTCAGTCATTTGCCACGGATAGGCTCTTTTCATTCGTGGACTGACATTACGTCAGAGACAAATCTATTGGCACACATCACTAAGCAAATTAGAGTGACACTGCAAACTGATAGTGGGTTTTATAGTCTGTCTGCTGGACAACAGTCGACTGAAGTGGGCACAGAGTGTTGGGTTAGTTCCACTTTAAATCCTAGCGCATCACAAATGGAACACAATAAATTTAGCTTATTTTCCAAGAAGCAGCGCTAGTACAATATCCTACAGTTCCATTACTTACCTTTTGATCTTATAAATGTAACTTCTCGGTCGTAAGATCAGCGTGAACTTATAAAAAATGCCACCCTATCACATGAATGACTGGGATTCCGTTGAGTTATAGTCAGACGGCATTAAAATTGTTTTCATCGCTCGTCATTGAGAACCACTCAGTCTATGCGTAATGACAAAAAACACGGCAAGTTGATTACACGGTAGTTTTCCTTACTTTCACTTAGACTCTTTTGCTTGCTGGTCAGCTGGCATTCTGAATGTTTCTCTTTGCTTACAAAAGGGCTACGACACCCCAGCCGGTCAGAGAGGAGCGAAACTCTCCGGAGGTCAAAAACAGCGGGTGGCGATTGCACGTGCTATGATCAGAAAACCGCCACTGCTGCTGTTGGATGAGGCGACGTCTGCGCTGGACAACGAGAGTGAACGTGTGGTTCAGAGGGCTTTGGACGCTGCGGTTGGATCAAGAACCTCGTTGGTGGTTGCACATCGTCTGAATACTGTGGAGAGTGCAGACATGGTTGTTGTGCTAGAAAATGGTCGAAAGATTGAATTTGGCCCACCCCAAATTCTTTTGGAGTCCAAAGGAGCATTTTACCGGTTGCATCATACAGAGCAAGCACAAGATTCTTGAGTCGTATGAATACGCCAATCATGCAACCTGTAAAGCCGAAACAGACAAACTTACCTTTTCTCAGCTTTTCTCTACTTACCACAAAGCTTTATCATGCCATACTTTCATTCCTCCTCTGTTTACTTCTGAATAGATCATTCTTTGGAACAATTGGACTCATTACTGGCGTGGGTACCAGTGCTTTGACGGGATAAATAAATATTAAATTGTGGAATAACATGCAGCCGTGGCCATTAAATTCAGACGTTAGCATTACTCTTAAAAAGGATTTCGTGTAACCTGCGGCTGATTTACCGTTTTCTCCCTCGAGGATATTTTTGAAACGTTTGGGCGAAATGGTTAACAAGGCTATTACTGTTGTTCTAACCCGTCAAATTTTGTTCTATGACAGTGGACGAATTGCGCATTTCCCAGGACACAGCCACAATGCGAAAGCCGTTCTAAACTACTTAGCTGTATAGATTGTGGCAAGAACCTGAAGCAAAGTGATGGCTACGGATTCTGTCGCATAGCCCTACCACAGATTCAGTCTCAAATGTTGCAATATCAACAAAGCACAACTTTCTTTATTAAAAAGTAATCGCCTGTTGGAAATGTACATCACAAAGTCCTTAAACTTTGAAGGGTATATAGTAGCACAAGCAGAACTTTAACTAGATTTGGTCGCACAGATGTAAAACAAACTTATGAACTTCTATGACTTTCTTCCGGTTAGGTCCAACAACCCAGCCAAGATCCAGTTGCATCTACACTTACGTTAGTAATATATGCTGGCGTAACTCGACAACCACTTTGCACATTCTTGCCGATCGAATTCCAGCCAACACTCTTAGGTACCTTTTGTCCTGTCATCCTCAAAAACATCCACATAACTACTGTTATAATCTGCGTTGGAACTGCGACTCTTATTAGGTCAGCTATCCTTGCCATTACTTCTGAAAGTAGAGAGCTGCAAATATGCTGTATAACTGAGAGAATCAATAAAACGGACGTAGCTGTCTGTAAGCTGCTTGGTCTAATAACTTTAGTGACATTCCATCCAAATGTGGTATGCAGATCCGGTTAGATCAAAAATCAAAAGTCACTTGTTTGGTGTGCAAGAACGACCTGCCAAAACTAACAGACCATGGAGCCGTAAAATCATCTCAGATCATTTCAGTGGAACCAAATAGGCAGCATAAGCGGAATGTGTTTTCAACCCAACCAAACAGTCGTTTACCTCAGCAGAAAATATTATCACGAGGCCCAGAATAGCGCGTTTCTCTCTTAACTTTTTCGTTTTCACAACTGGTCTATTGTCAATTTAATGCGAATATTTTATTAGTGGAATTATTTTTGGTTCAAAATGTGCTCTTCAAAGCAAACGGTCTACTTTAAAGCGGATAACTTTTCTTCACCGCTGCTAGAACAACTTATAAAGAAACAAACATGGGCTTACGTAGCTTGACGATTGTCAAATGTCTAACACCAGCAATAATAAATAAAGTAACAAAACGCTAATTTGTGCTCGAGAGGGTTTCGGGTTAGCACAAATATGGTGGTCCAAATGTCTTACGGGTCTGGTTGGGGATTCTGAGAGCTTCCGTGTCCAGAACATACATGACCTTCAAATTAGCGCTTGATGTTGATAATTCACTTTTTATACCAGTTACTGCGGAATCGTCAATCTCGTATAAATGACTTTGCAAGTTGGTTTCTCTGGAATAATGGTGCTGATCACAATGTACTGTTCTGCCACTTTTTGCTCGCAAATTGTTGAATATTCTCATAATGTCAAGAACGCTTTAAAATATTCTAAAAAGTAGTCCGAAAAACTAAGAAAGCACCTAGCTGGTTGGCAAATCGTTCTAAGACGTCGTTCAGGACATCGGACGCAATTACTAGTGGGCCTTTTCATCAATGTTCCATCATTACTAAGAAAAAGTGTGGATCTTACCGCAATCATGCATAGAAGTGAATATTCAAATCACGCTGTTTTACTGCTACAGGAAAGTTGGTTGGATGCTGATATAGAAGACGAAATTATTCAACTTACTGACTATCGTTCCATCAGGTCCGATCGACTAGGATTACCCCAGGATCGTGAAGGTGGTGGAATTGCTTACATCAAGCAACGTTGGTGTGATTCGGCAGCCTTGTTTTTCACGAACACAACGGCCACTGTTAGCTGTCATTTACTTGAATGCAAGCCATGGATCCTGTGCGGTTTTAGTTCTGCTGTAGGCAGAAACCTAAACATATCGCCTGACACGTCAGCGCCCAAACTGAACAAATTTGTTGATAAGTTATGCACGATGTTCCTACCGAAACCCGAATACTCATTCTGTGTGATTTCTGGAGATTTCAATAAATATGATACCAATTTTATTCAGGCACTTGCTCTGACGAATATAGTGACATTTCCAACGAGACTAAAAGCAAAATTAGATCTTGTCTGCACAAACCACGCTCGACTGTTTTCTATGTTCTACTCGGCAACTCTGACCGTTTTATCACAAAAGTATGCCCTGTTACTTACAGCAAGAAGAACTCCATTTCTTTGGCGCATATACCGTTTAAAACTATCAGACTGCAAGACTGTTCCATGCCCAACATAGCGGGACTTCAAGCAACGATCGCTTCCACTGATATCACCGTTTTTAACAACGACAATTTGCCCGTTCAAGGTGATCATCTCACCGAATGTCTCAATTTCTCTTTCGACCTCTGCTGTCCTATTGAAACTATTTGTTTAAGGGCAGACCGGTTCTCCTTCACAGTACTCAAACAATTTAGTAGGTAGAACAAACATGCATATAAAAGTAAAATGCACGATCATGTTGAATTGCTTGTTTCAGCCAAAAACTGAATGGCGTGTATATTGATGCCATTTTATCCAACAATACCGGACGTGAGCAGTGGCAACTTTTGAAACAACTGTGTGAGAAAGGCTCCAGTAAACATCTAGGGGTTGTAGATGTGGATTAACTCAACTAAGAATTCCGATCTGCTCCTCAATATGCCTGCTCCCTGCCTACATTTTGCTCGCTATCACCCTATGCAGGTGGTCCAAAGTTTGGATTCCAACACCACGAGGTCTACCAGGAACTATTGAGGCTGAATGTGGGTAAGGTCGGAGGAACTGATGCACTATCAGCAATTGTTTTACAGAAGTGTATCTACTCCCATCTTACTTTTAACACATCTGTTCAATTGGTGCATAACCAGTGGCACTATTCCAGACATTTGGAGACCCATCCGGATAACGCCGGTCCCAAATAGTAGCCCAGATATTCAGCCCCATTTATGCCTCATATCACCCATTCAACGATGTGTTATCAAAAATTTGTTTCTACTTATCTACATGCTTAAAATTTAAGGTTCTGTTTTCTCGCACCGCTGCTTTTTCTCACGCAATTTTGCCTTATTTATCACGTGCTCTAGTAAACTCTACGAATATCATTAATACCACGAGTGAAGCTTTTCTCGCTTGAATTTATGTATACATACTTTTTTAACCATTTGCTAGTCCTTTTAAGTAAACTTATGTACACAAAATTTTCCTCGCAGTTTAGTCTAAAGATTTGTTGAAAATGTGCTCAGTCCGATACATATAGCTTATTTTGTCGACCATATATGGGTCGTATTAGACCGCGAGAGCTGAACGGTAAAAAGAGATACTTTCTAGGCCGTTAGAGAAATACTTCACAACCACTTATTAATAGTGGGAGCTAGATGGAGGGTGTGCCTGTCATACACCTCCTGGTGAGCTGGACGGCGTTGTCACAGCTGCCGATGTAGCATCGAGCATGAGGTGACTGGATGAATGGCGTGAAAATACGCACGAGAGATGATTGCTCAAACAAAACCAGAGGAAATGGGAAAGAGAACAGGAAACGACAATCAAATTTAGGCTAGGCTCGGCGATAACATACCGGTTGACTTGCTTCGACGACCCTCTGACGCGCTACACATTTATCTTTTAAAACAATTTCTTGGTAAAGCGCCTGTGGCTGTATTGGTAGTAATGATGTGAACAAACTCAACGTCTCGTGCACTATCACTTAGTTAAGTTTATTCTTATTGCCCTTCTTTGTCAGTCAAAGCTTAAGCGAGGCCTACGAATTTAGCGTGCTCGAAATTTGCCACTATCAAGGAATTATTGACACATTCTTAAACCATGTTTCCTAAAATCTCATGGTTTTACTCACCCCCCGCGATGTTCTGAGGTCATGAGCTTCCACGCAAGTTAATAACAATGATAGATAGATCTATCGGGAATAAAGTGAGATGAAACTACAAAAACCGGAAATCATCGTGTGGGGCGGAACGTTGAGCCAAGGAAGAAATAGCTGATAAACTTGAGCATTTCCTTTTTCCAATCGCAAAGGTCAGTTCGCTTCTGAGAGAAATGGTTGTGAATACGCAGAACTAGCAACCATTATGCCGCAAGCGACAGGATTCCCTAACGATGTTGGAGACAATTTTGTTGCAATGCAGCGCCATATTTGTTTTCATGCTGACCGCCCAATCACATCCCGGAATCGTAGCGGCAGTGGACGCTTCTCGTTGCCCATCCGTGCTAAACCTTCTTCTGTCACTCGTCACAACGTATCGACGCCTGGATCCTAAATCGTATGTTAAGATATCTGAATGGGCATGGTTCACTGGTACTGCCCGATATCTATATACAGTCCAATCTGCTAAGGGCGGCCACCTGTCTATGGCTACCAGCTAAAGATATCTCCTAAGATTTTCAATGTTTTCCTTTTTGTCTTAGTTTGCGTATCGCGTCCACCTGTCTAACGCAAGTGAGACTAGTTTTTCGTGATCTCCAAGTGCTATAGAAGCTGTGAAAGTCGACCACCACTCCACACTTTTAGCTACTTGCGGAACCGTGTTGATCGCACCATCTGCGCTCACACAAGTGTTTTAAAACTGTGAGGTCATTGAGGAACAATGAATTTATGCAGATTAAGAAGCTTTGCTTTACAAGTTCCGTTGGCTAGTAGGTGGGGACCTCGAAATAATAATAATAATGATAATAATAAAAATAGTAAAACAGTTAATACTTTAAGTATGAAAATAAAGAACTTATAATTTGCTCTGCTGTAGTCCTGCAGTCCGTGTAGATTCACAACACTCACAGTTAACAACAAATAACTA